CAGGTTCTTACAACATTTCACCTTTCTTAGCACATCTTCTATCATCACAAAGTGGGATATTTAATAACAAAAGAGATGGAAACATAAACAAAAAAGAAACAAAATAAAATCAGCTAGATTATACACCCAAAATATATATTTAACAAAAAAGAATTTTAACTTAAAATTCTTAGTGTCCCCTCTCCTTCATTTGCATATGTAGTTACATCAATGTAAATATCACTTTAATCTGATGAAGTGTGTTACACAAAATGTTTTCCACTTTGTTATAGATTTTTTCTTTAAAATTGTCCTTGACATATAAAAATTTATATATTGTTTTTCCACGTATATATATATATATATATATATATATATATATATATAAGTATAAAATATATTTTTTTTTTTTCTTTTTTTTTCATTCTCTTAAATTCTTCTTTTATTTTTAAGTGTTTAAATTTTAAGTTCCTATTTTTTTCTTTATATCTCTGAGTTGACAAAGCTTATAAAAGAAATAATTCTTTAAACAGAAATAGCTATTTGAAAAGGTAACTTTGAATTTTTATTTATGTAATCAAACTCTTAAACACAACCATCTACATCCAAATACCTCAAGACAAGATCGAAATCCAACTGATTTGGTGTCAGTCAGAGTTTCTACCACTGAGCTATCAACAGAGAGTGACCACTCGTATTCGTGGATACCCGTTTAATAGGGCAGCTAACCAATCCCTATTGCAGACACTTGCTCAGGTGCATTTGTGTTTATTCAACACCCACAAAGCCCACCTGTGGTTTATACTGCAACTATGCTGAGCAGACTTTAGTTACAGTTTCTGGAAAAGAGCATGTTATCTAGCATGATCAACAATTTGAACAAAGCCAGCACGCTCAAGCCCTCAGCCATGATTACTTGTGACTTTGTGCTAGCACAGCTATTGACGGCCCACAAAGGTTCCATCTACCCAAATTCACTTACAAGGCTTTTCAGGCACTTTCCAAAGCTGCCACACACTGGGATCGATCCCTCCAGTCTGATAACATCAAGAAGTCTCCTTTCTGATAAATAAACCAGGGTGAGAGTTGAACCTAAATCTCATGGTCAGAATGTGAACATTCTAACCACTCAGTATATATAAAAACTATATATATATAAAAACAAACACACTGATATATATATATTTCTGATTTTGCCGTCAGAATTGCAAATGTTTTGTATATATATATATATATATATATATATATATATATATATATATATATATATATATAAATAATATTTTGAGATACAAATGTCCTGATATACAAGTTTTTGAAAAAGCTGGAGTTTGGCTGATTTTTTGTCTTGAGATGAAAGCAGAACTTTGAGATATGAGCAAGTTTCAGTTAAGTATCCACAGTACACATGTTCACCTTTGCCCAGGAAGAATATCTGTTGTGTTGTGTTGTGTTGTGTCTTTCTTGCCATTATTTTGAAAAATTCCTTTAGTGACACCATGGGACCAAAGACAGTAAGTATAAAAGATAAAGTTCAACAAAATTTATAAACTTGAAATAGATCGGAAATATTCCCATTAATTTTAATGAGGAAAATTGAATTGAGGTACAAGTCTTTTGAGTTAAAAGCTCGGTCTTGGAATGAATTAAACTTGTATCTCAAGCCATTACTGTATATATAGATAGATAGATATATAGCATATTTTTCAGAATATAAGATGCACTGATGTATAAGATACATCTTTATTTTGATAACAGTTTTGCCAAGTATGCAATGAAAATGTAAGTATCAATTAGAAGAATATCAACCTTAACTGCATTGAACACTTTGATTAGTGGTGTGCATTTCATATTTGAAATCCATATGATTTTTATAAATAATACATTGAACACTAATCATTCTTATTAAAATTTATATCCATATATATATATATATATATATATATATATATATACGTTCTTTTTGTATAATACAACACACACACATATATATCATATATATATATATATATATATATATATATATATATATATAAATATATAAATACATATATATATATATATATATATATGACGATTGGCCAGAAACTGACATTTCACCTAGCCTTGACATATCTGTACAATATACTACCCTCCACTGAGATCAAACCAAAATGGGTACCAACAATATCCTCATGACCTCACACCAAACATTTTAAAAAAATTAGGTTACACCAAACCCATACAAGAATAAGGTTTTTTGTTTTCTTACCTTTTACAACCAGCCAAAAAAACAGACATTCACATCCCTCAACATCTCTGTATGACTTACAAACAATAAAAAGTTTTTCAAAATTTAATCCTCGTTATTTTTTTTTTTCTTTAAAATGACACACACAAAAACACACACACACACACACACACACACACACACACATATGAATATATATATATATATATAAATATATATATATTGAAATACAATTTTCCAAACTCAAGAAAACACTAGAATACAAAAGAATTAAAAACGACAATATATGTCTAGAAGTCAAAATATATTACAGTTGAAAGAAATTAGGAAGAAGAGAAAAAGAGGGAAAAGGTTAAGGAATGAGTGCAAAGTGAAAACACAAAAAAAGGATATATATATATATATATATATATATATATATATATATATATATATATATATATTTACACACACAACCATAATATAACCATGCTATTTTTCGTGTATGCACATAAACACATACATGCATGCACATACACTATGAATAATAAACAAACTTGCACCAATGAAAAGTGCATATAAAGAAGAAAATTCAAGAAGTATAAGCAGTCAATTTCTGATACCCCCTGACTAGTGGACACATTAATTACTGGAGGGTCCATCTATGAAACTGTGGAGTCAGGATGCTGACAGTAACATCAATCAACTTTTGCTTGTATTAATTATATATATATATATATATATATATATATATATATATATTAATTATAATATCAATGTTAAAGAAACTGACAGACTTACAAAGTCTTCAATAATAGTCTAGCAGGCTATTATTTTTAGAGAATTCTATTTCTCCTCTGACTTCCTCATTTTGACCTTTGAGGTCAGATGCAGGAAAACAAAGGAAGTCATTTTTGATTGACAAAAACTAGTGTGGGAATTTTAGAGATAGAAAGGGATTTCATAGTTAAATTTTTTAAACATTACAATTTTATGCTTTTTTAAGAACTTAAGGATTTCCCCAGTGGTGTGTGAGAGCAACTTCGCTGGCTATTTAGGAAAGGTACATGTTGGACGTGTTTAATAAAGTAGTAAGTTAAAATTCCCTATATTGATGCCTCTTTTAATTCTGAATCAAAAACATTTTGCTACTAAAAACATTTCCACACCCAACAGAGAGAGGAAACATCTTTAGTATTGAGTCAACACCATCAACCAAGACCTCCCCACAACTAGGGGAGTATACAACAAAAAACAATGATCTCCCAATTGAAGTTGCCAGAATGTGGCACATGCAAGCCATTTTGTCGCAGTTATCATTGGGTTATTAGGGTCTATATCACTGAACATAAAGTTATATATTAAGAAAATAAGGATAGAATCTATTATCCTATCTCTTCAGAAGTCTTCATTGCCTGGTACTGCAAATATTGTGCAAAATGTTCTATCTTTTAAGGCTGTATGACTTGATGGAGAACACTCATAATAGAAGATCTCCGAGCGAAAATAAAAAACTGCGTGGAAGAAAATAATAATATTAATAAAGAAGTTCAACAACCATAAGAATTTAAAATACTAAATTTTAGGAATTACTAGTGAAGAAAGTAATTACGGTACTAATGATTGTTGAAGCACTGGAGTGCTGAACAAAAAACATGGGGAAAATCTTGACAATATTGGCTTCTGATTTGAAAATAGAGCCATTACAAAAATGCTGCTGCTCAGAACAGCAAGGATACTGCAGAATGTATTGAATACAACCTGTTGGTAAAAAATGCTCAGTTTATTTTCTTGTCATAAGTGGTGACCTGAAAGCAAACTTTTTTTACTAGTATTCAGCATCATATATTGCGTACAGCAATAGCAATAACCACAAACACTATTCCAATAATAATAGGAGTGCTACGAATGATAAAAAAGGATACATAAATTAAGGAAATCCCAGGAAACTCATCACTGTCAGAGATACAAAGATTCTGTTCATAAGCACTGCTCAAATACTCAATGTATTATGCTAAATAGCATTCTGAGAAAAACCTTCCTTTATGTTATATAGGAATGAAATGTTGCTGTTGACAATGGAGTTTGAACACAGATCACCAGTGAGCAAACACAGGTGATTCCATTTCTAATAAGCAGATCATGTGATGGCAAAGGAAACATATATATGGGAATTAGCGTGGCGTCTAATTGATCACCATTTCTATTCTATCCTCTAATACTGTTCAGATCACTCTTTCTACACTATCCTCTCTCTCTATACTATTCACCATACTATTTTTCTATACTGATCACTATTTGGTGGTTACTATTCAAGTGAGTATTATCAAGCAAGTGCAAGTCTTATTTGAAAGCGTCTGACACCAGTATTGTTCAACGGTGTTACTATAGTTGTATCTGCAATTATAAAGTCTCTACTACAACAAGCATTACCAAAGTGACAACAAGTATTCACTGACATTACAAAAGTAATGAGTGTTTGTTGACATCACAAAACTTTATTTAATGTCTCAGGTAAAAGATTTGGTAAAGGATTGTATCAAACTGAAAAATTAGAAAACTGGCCTTATGCCTTATCAACCCTTTGCAGGTGAAGCCAGAAAATATTGTAAGATTGTAAAAATTTGTGGTGGGGGGAGATAATAATGATTTAGTGAGACAAGTCTTAGTAATTAACCCATAGCTGGGGGGAGAAGAGGTGAATTCATGTTTCTCCCATGTGAGTGAATATAACACTCCAACTGGAATTGGAACTTGGCTCTCTGATTAACAATTCCAAGCCATTATTCATTACACCACTGGCACATCGAAGCTTACAGTACCTGGTATTCCCAAGCAGTCACTCATTTCAGTACTGACCAGACTCAATGTTGCTTAATATCAATGATTGTATGGGTACTGGTGTTTGAAATGGATATGGCCAAAATCTATTATCCTATCACTTCAGAAGTCTTCATTGCCTGGCACTGCAAATGTTCTATCTAATGTTCTATCTTTTGAGGTTGTACAACTTGATGGAGAACACCCATAATACAAGATCAAGATAAAAAACTGTGTGGAAGAAAATAATAATATTAATAAAGTGAATATAACAAACCCAACTGGAATTGGAACTTGGCTCTCTGATTAACAATTCCAAGCCATTATTCATTATACCACCGACACATCCAAGCCTACAGTACCTGGTATTCCCAAGTGGTCACCCATCTCAGTACTGACCAGGCTCAATGTTGCTTAACTTTGGGTACTGGTATTTCAAATTGGTATGGCCTTGGAAATAATAAAAAAAAACAAGAAAGACTTTGGTTCAACTATATAAACAAATGATAAGTAGAGACTGACTGAAAAATATGAAGATGACAGTTGTGCCCTTTACTGTTGGAGTAATTGGAACAGTTCCAAAGATCACAGCATAAAGATTGGCAGAACTGGAGATCTGAAGGAAAATTGAAACTATTAAAACAATTGAATTGTATAAAAGTTTGAATATTGAGGAAACTTCTTGTCAATTCTGTCTATATTTCTGAGATGAGGTATTGTAACTATTTACATCATTCAGACTGTTGTTTCATCTTTATTGCTATATTCATGACATGAATAAAGGGTTTAGTTTGAAATTCCCACGCATATCACCTGAAGAAGGCCGGAGTGTACAATGGCTGAAACATTGTGAATATGGGAATAAAGATGAGAACAACAGTCCGAATGATGTAAATAGTATCGATTGCTGTTACTTGTTCTCCGCTAGTTACTTCTTCTTTTTCTCTGTACCAAGTCTCTTCAGGATGATGGCGTTTATGGCTCTCCACAACTTCTAGTATAAATTGCTGTTACTTGTTCTCCACCAGTTACTTCTTCTTTTTTTATGTACCAGGTCCCTTCATGGTGATCATGGCTCTCCACAACTTCTTGTCCTTTGTAGTCTGTAGTAAAGTTTGTCTTTTTGCTATATCCCTGTTCTGACAACCATTTACACAAGCTTGTTAAGTAGTTTATGCATTGCTTTTGTCTGTTCCTCTTGCCTTCTAGAAAGTGTCAAATTTTCCAAGCCTTCTTTCCTCATTATGTTCTTGGGAAATATCAGCAGTCTCTTTTTGATCCTACCTAAGTGACCTTTTTACTTCTATTTTTCCTAGACACAAACAAAACTGCAAGAAAATACAATACTACTACTATTACTAATGATGATGATGATAGTAATTAAATAATAAGAACAGTATATACAAATCAAGAAGTCTCACCATCTTTTAAAACAAAATGATGATGATGATGGTAGGGGTGGAGGTGTTGGTAAGCGAGCTAAGGCTGATCATCATCGTAATAAGGAAAGAAAGCAAAAGAGCGAACGTTCAATCTAATAATCAAGCCTAATGAAAAAAGTTTTGCCAGGTGCCGAACGAACGACGCGTTCAGATATGTAGCAGTAACGCTCTATTAGGCTCGTCGCTGGCCGTCGTCGCTAGCTAAGCTGTCGGAGATGTGCATTGGCTGTTTGATTGAACGCGCGCTTTGTATGAGCGACACAACGCAGTCGAACCAGACGACTGTGGAAGCGCTGCTAAAATGGCGGCGTCCATGGGACAGTGCTCCATATTTCTAGTGGCATTGTTCCCTTTCTTAGTGTACGGGAGCGAACCCAGGGCATCATTAGAAGGTGTCGTATACGCCCTGGAGAGGCTTGTTGGATATTACAAAAACAATTACAAGCAGATCAATCTAGATGGTCTGTACGGACTACGCACTCTAGAAGGTGAGTCTCGTCGTCTCTCTATCCGTTCCATTCTGTACATAAACTGATTTAGAAAAAAAAAAAAGAAAAAAAATATAGAAAAGTGGGCAAAAAATGGGGGTCTTATTTATTTACATTTTGTTAAGTAAACAGACCCCCCAGTTTGTAACCACTGTTTTTGTTTGATGTTGACATTTTTGTTTGCGCCGTTTTTTAAAAAAAATCTTGCTTCGTGTTTACCGATTTTTTTTTTATTGCAAGCAAAGTACAACTTAAAAAATTTAAAAATATACACATACTAAAATAAATGGTTGTATTTAAAATTAAAATTATAATGTTTGTTTATATTTGAACTTAATTTAATAACAAAAAAAAAATTAAATAAATACGTTTCTTTTTTTTTTTTTTTTTTTAAATTCTTGGAGAGAAATTCCCTTAGAAAAAAACAAAAAAAAAAAAAAAAAAAACGGTCTTTCATTTTTATTTATTTATAAAATAATTTATAATTTTTTTACCCTGTCTTTTTTTCTTTCTAATTAAAAATAAATAAATTTATATTATTTATAATCGATGTCTCTGATAAATTATTAAAAGAAATATTTTATTTTTCTCCTGGTTTACCGAACCTACAACTGACCTTGCAAAAAATGTAATAAAAAAGAAAAAAAATTGTCTAAAAAAAAATGAAAAAAAAAATGTTTTTAGTTTTGTTTTGTCTTTTTAGTGTATTTTTTTAAATTTTTTTTTTTTTAAAATAAGTCCATTTTAAAGCCCCTAAACCCTTTACAAATAAAATCATTTTAACTTCCGTAAATTTATAAATACTAATTGTAAATATACAGTCCTATCATTTTATTCTTTGAGACGAGTTGCTGAGGAGTGGGGGGAAAAACGTACCAAAAGATTTTTAAATGATTTTTTAAAAATCTTAAATAACAAAAACCTCAAAATTGAAAAGTTACCAAATTCAGTTTCCCTCCACTATTAAAAATTCCAGTTTCTTATAGAAGCTTAAAAAGGCAATAGGGAAATCAAGACGGTCTGTTAGTGTTACTGTTATTTATATAATTTTTATATTTTAGAAGTCCAGCACCATTGATTAAATAAAAAAAATGGCCCGTTTTCCATTATTTTATTTATTATCATTCATTATTTATTAATTAAATTGGTTAGTATTTATTATATTCTCTTTGCAGTCTGCAATTTGCTTCATCATTGTCTATTTACTCCCCCCACCCCCGTTTGTCAAATAAGTTCACAGAGTGTGTGTGAGCAAGTGCACGCTGTTTCTGACTGACGAAGAGACTGCTCTGTTATCGAAACACTGTTTTAGGAAACATTTGCAAATAAGACAAGTCTGGTGATTTTTTTTTTTTTTTTTTTTTTTTAAATGTAATATGAGGGAGTAGGAGATTCTATGACTCTTAAATAAGTACTTAAATACTTCATAAATAAAAAAAATAAATAAAAATAAAATTTATTTTTTTTAGCGTATCGTGCATGCTTGTGCTTTTAAAAAAAATCTCGGTCATAACAATGATTAATTCATTTCAGTAATATATCCTTTCCTTTACCTAAAAGAATATTATTGTGTGTGTGTATAAAGATTATTACCGGTGGCGATATTGGAGGAGGGAGAAATTCTTGCTTTAAATCGCAATGTTTGGTTTTATTTTAAAATAGTTTATGAAGTGCATGGGAACGAAAATAAACATTATTTTTTTATCATTTTGATTCGTTTACACCAGAATCATTTCTTCCTTCTATGTTTCTAGTTTGCTTTTTGTTTAACAAACGAAAAACGCCTTTAAAAAAAAACAACTTTCAACAGCACTAATTAATATTTCAAAAGATTATTCAAAATAAGATTTAAATAATTTTTAAAATTTTTACTCCGATATTGTTCGGAGTTTATTTTACATGGAAAAAATCCGGAAAAAAAAACGTTTGTCGGACTTTCTTCTTATCCCCCCCCCCGAATTTTTCTTAAAACGAAAAACAAAGTCTTGGCTTGTAATAGAGGGTTCTTTTTCTTTAGGTTTTAAAAAAAAAAGTGTTACTAATTTGTATATCCTTCTTGCTTGGGTCATGAAAATATTTGGAATATTAAGTTTAACGTTTCAAACGATTTTGGCTTACCAAATGCTGATTTATCTCCCTTAAATCTTTTGAACTAGCCTCATATTCTGAGCCCTTCTTTTGGATTTGAAAACTTAGGCATTCGTAATCAAACGAAAAATACTGTCCAAAATGCAATAATTTTTATTTGAACAAAAAAAATTTAATTATATTTCAGTTTTTACTTGCATGAAAATAGTTTCAATAACTTATTTAGAGAGTTTGACTAAAAATGTAATTATTATTTTAATTACAATCGGACAACTGTTTTCGGATGCATGAAGAATATTTTCAGAACCAAAGAAAGAAGGAGGACAGACTTAGAATACGAGACTAGTTCCAAAAATTTTAGATGAATGTAAAATAAGTAAAACGAATTTTTTTGTATGTAGGATTTATTTGAAACGCTAAACTTAACAATATCCTATTGGGTATTTTTTCCTTAATTTAAACAAAAACACTTAGTGAATATCGGCATGAAGGATTTTTTTTTTTTTAAACCTTTCATTTTTAATTGTACTGTACAGATTGAAGAATAATTTGTATATAAACTTCCCCCTTTTACATTCTTTGGTAACGTAATTAAAGAAAGGAAGAAAAGCACATGCCACCAATTATATAGGATTTAAATTTTAAAAAAGAAAAAAGTCCTGAACTATGAACGTATTGTGCACCCCCCTCGCCTCAAAAAGTCTCAATTACTTTATTTTTGTTTGTTTTTTAAAGGAAAAGGACGGCTGCGACTACTACTGAGATTTAAAAAAAGAAATAAATATAAACCGAAACGTTTTGTAATTACATTTTAAAAGCCTTTCTTCAGTTTGTAAAATACCATTTCTTTTAATTAAAAAAAAAAAAGCAAAACATTTTTTAAAATTAATTAACCGATGAAAACAAACTTTCTGTTACAGTTTTCTTTCTTTTTTGTGTGTGCGGTAGGAGTTTATTTTATTCTTTTTTTTTTACACATCTTGCATTGTATTGAATAAAAAATGATTATTGCTTAAATATTAATTTTTTGCTTCCTAAGCCATTATTATTATTATTTAGATAAAAAATTTAAAAAAATCATTGACATGACGACGACTTGAAGGTTGCGGTTTTTATTTATTTATTTTCTCTGTAAGGAAAAATATTTTTTTCTTTCTTACTAAAAATAAATGTTAGCTGACTTTAAATGCAGAGGCACCAAAGAATGTGAAATTTAAATCTGACTTCGGAATAGCTGAGTCTGACATCGTCAGTTTGTTTGTAGCAACTAGTAAGAATCGAACTCCTTTCACAGCGGTTGAGACAAGTTTGCAAACCAGTGACAACAAATGATGCCGTGGATCACTGGATGTATTGACAATTTCCTCGTTAGAATCCCGGCTAATAATAATGATTGATAAAATATTATTTGTTGATTCGAAAGCAGCTTCTTT